GTTTTGTCACATTGATTTATGCATTACTTTTACAGGGTGTTTTAATGTATTGCTGATTCTTAATTTATTTGAAGTTAGGTTACTATTATTCCCGTTTTACATTTGAAATGTGAATCCAGTGCCACCTCCGTAAATTGCTGCCTTGAATCCCTGATCTAATACTTATCTCTAAAAATAACCTAGATTTTTTTATTTATATTATCATTGTTGGCATCCGCTTGTCTCAAGAGACAATGGAGTGCACCTGTGGGGGATGATATGTAACATTATATTATTTCAGTTTATACAAATAGTGGTGAGAATTTACAGAGAGGGGGAATATAAAAAATAATAATTTGTTTATTTCATGCTGTAGGAAAGTACAGTGGAGCAAAGGGTTCAGTTCGGGGGTCTGCACACTATGGCAAAACCATGCAAAATCAAATCCCCATAAGTGCTCCCCATGAGGTAGAGGGCTGCTTTTCAGGGTCTGGGAAGATCACTCCTAGAGCCTTGCCAGAGGCTTGTAAGGAAGACATCACCATAATACGAGAAGCCTCCTTCCCAAAGCCTGTAAAGCCAGGAAAATCTGTTGGGTGTGCAGGTGTGTGTGGGAAAATAAATAAAGGGAGAGCAGAGAATGGTGGGTTTCCCTGGCTCTCCACCCACGTAAGATTGTGACTGCAAAAGTAAAGCAAGTGCAGCTTGTGGACTTACTGGATAGCAAATATTGGAGAATAATGAATAGTCCTATCAAAACACTGATCTGATACTAGTAACAGAACCGATTCATCAACATTTGTACTACAGCTGAACATTCCGAATACAAAATTTATAAAATATTTGTGTTTTCCTTGAAAATGCAACATACATTTATAAGAACTGATGAAGCTGTAATTGAGAAAATGCAACATACATTTATAAGAACTGATGAAGCTGTAATTGAGAAATTATAATCAAGTCCTGTCATGACAAGACTTCTGGGTAAGTAGACATGCATTTCTTTAGTATTTAATATTAGCTCAAGGAAGCCGCCTGTGGGACCAATAGCGTTGGACCTTAGTTTCCTGCTCTTGTTGAAGGTTTATTAAGAGCTTTGCCAGTTTTATTCAGCTCTTGGATTTTTATAGGTATCTTGATTTGAGATTCCACATTTTTCCTGTGCTCATTAGTTGTAGTGGCCTTTCTAAGCTTGGCCTTTAGGGAACGCAGTGACTGTGACAGATGGTGAAGGAACAGAATTGCACTGGGACACTAGCTCTCATTTTGTCTCTGTCTCACTCTGATTTCTTTTCCCCAATTGCTCCCTCCTTCATCCCCTCCCCTCTTTGCATTCTGATGTTAGATTCCCATGCATTTAGCGCTGGGGAGAGACAGATTGCAAGAGCTGCTTATACATCTCTTTATAGGCCACTTGTAAGAGTAACAACCACTTTCCCTAATATGTTTTTACTTGACAAAATGCAAAACCAGTTGTTTTGTTTGTTGTTATTGTTAGTTTACAAAGGTCTGAGTTTTTAAAAAGTAATGCGTTAGATATATGGTCCCTTTTAAGTAAAAGCATTGCGCTGAAAGAATCATTTTTCAACCAATGTTATTTTGCAATATCATAAAATTGTAGAGCTAGGAGTGAAACCACCTCAGCTCAGAGCTGAGGCAATTTCACCCACCACCTCACAGCGGCAGGGACAAGGCAGCTTGCTCTTCCCGCCCAACACTTCTCTGTTAAGGGACGCAGGGGCACGACTGCTTTCTCTACAGTGAAGAAGTCTAACAGAGCAAACTGCTGAGTGGTAAGTTGCTTCTACTACTGGGCTGGGCTGGGGGGGGGGGAATGCTAGTAAATTGAGAATGCAGAGAAGTAAGCTTTATTTGCCGCCAGCACTGCTAAATGGAAGGAGCAATTATACACTCTTAACCTGTGTTTAATCACATGTAGTCTGAGATTTGTGCCAATTGCATTCTAGCTGTCCAGTAGCCCACATTATTGTCCTCAGAAAACTAAAGATCCTTTCAGGGACCCCTGGGCTAGAGACGATGCTCTAGAACGATAATGTTGGTGGCCCTGCTCATCTTCCTACTCCATGGTAAGCTCAGGGTCTCAAGAGGGTTGCTGGTAATGCCACCTAGAAAATTTCCCCAAGTATTCAGGAATCCTTCAGATTCCAAAAGGTTCTAGGGGTATATATGAATAGGACCCCACCCCTATTAGCCACAATCAGGCCAAATCCTATCAGGGAGTGGTCTGCCCATGACAGTTGGGAGAGACACCTTCCACACCATCTCCTTCTCAGTCCACCATATAGTGAATACAATATGAGTTGGGGACCAGGGTATCTATAGCAACCATAAAATTCTGAGCTTCACCCACCAAGGTGGAACTGTCAGGGCACTGAAGTCCCTCAAAACCACATTAGAAAGCACCTGCAACCATCTTAGGGAGGTTAGGCAGTGTGACAATAGAGCCCCTGTTAATCAGTTATGTCTCTGGGGGAACACAAGTTCAACCTCCTCCCTGGCATATATATATCTATATCTATATCTATATCTATATCTATATCTATATCTATATATATAGACAAACATGTGAGCCCAACCTCTCTCTTTTCCCACCTAGCATTCTGTGTACCAGTACCAGTCTCCACTGTAGAGATACCACCATGCATTCAGTTCACAAAATTCTATTCAACATGAAGATGATACAGTGCATACCTAAACACTAGTCCGGAACAGATGGGAAACCTGTCAGAATGAGCAATCTAACGTATTTCACATGAAAATAAGTTGATCATTATGTTCATCAAAATCTGTGTGACCTAATTAAAATATTGCTTTCTGGAGAAAGAAATGTGTTATACATGTAACAGAACATTTTAATATCTAGAAAGACGGCTGCGAAAGGATGACATGTTCTGCTAAATTGAATGAGTAAGTGTTAAATTGTGCTGGTTAATGATTGTATTTCACACAATACCAAATCTGCTTTGAGAGAATGAGGTCATAATTATGATCAGGAAATTGGTGCAAAGGCTGGAGTGTCTATGAACTTTTACAGCTGCTAACTGCATGTGAAACTAGATTACACCGTTAAAATTCCATGATGATATTCCTGAATCAAAGAGAATAAAATTTCATGGTGGAAGGATTTCTTTTTAGTGCTATTGTTAATTTGCATTAATCTAGGTCTACATTTTTACAGCTCTCAAAATGGGTGTTAGAGGAGTCTAATAACATTATCCATGTTGTACTGCAGAGACCAAAGGCTAGGAAGGTTTTGTTTTGTTACTGTTTTGTTTTTGTTTTTAACCTGAAAAGCAACATTATCAATTTCAGCCTAGTTCATTCTAGGATTCAATGCAATATTGTGGTATCTTTAATGAATTCCAGTTTATAGAGTACTGGTTATTAGGACAGTCAGCTAGGAAGTTGACAACCTCCTACATACATTGAGTAGACTGACATTTGCTGCCATAGTAAGGTGTCATGGGGGCTTTTGGACTTGATTTAAGAGTGCTGTTATTTCATATTTTAGAACTGTCAGGAAGGCAACTGATGTCAGTACAAAAATATTGGATTGCTTTAGATCACAGAAAAAGGATGACTCTATTGACAACAAGAAATCAAAAATCCTTATTGGTGACCCGTCAATGGATGATGGGAGGTATCTTTGTCATTATTTTTATAACTGATGATACCACAGACCTCTTAATAGAACAACAAATCTACAGTCTATTGAACTGTAATTCATTGTGTGTATGTTAATGTAAATCTGTGGCAGTATCCAGAGTTAATATGAGTTGTATGCTTTGTTTTCTAAAATGCACTGCAGTTTATGCTAGTTTGAAGCAGCATATACACCTATTCATCTTGTGTTTTAATTTAAAGTGAATGGAAGGAAAGGGCTGGATCTGCAAGTCTGGATCATGTTTAGAACAGGTTGCCTATAGGTGTATAGCATTAGCTGAACATGGACCTCAGTTATGGATCCCTGGTGTATTAATGTTGCATTCATATATTCATCCAATTGAAATGCTGACCTAAGTGAAAAGTCATTTTGGCAACGTGGAATGCCCCACAAATACTACTACGGCCACATCACTTTTAAATTGGGTCTTTTGCACTACTGAATATGTGGTGATTTGATGTAGACTAATGATTGGCATCGAAACACAATAAATTTGTCATTTCCAACAACTGATTCAGTATAACAGTCTGTATATCTATAGAGTTCTGACTTTTTAATGTGCAACTATGGGTGACATTATTTGCATAATCTTTTCCTGACTATTGAATAGCTCATTGAAATAGGAACAAATGAATCTGTATATCTGTTTTGAGACCAAAGCATTCTCTCTGCCTGTGATTCAGTGATGTTTTAGGAGCCCAAGTACACTGCAGTAATTGGTAGGCCACAGCTCTGTAACTAACAGATTGGTGACTGAGGGATATTGTGCAGGATCTGTGTTTCATTTGCAGTATAAATTTTCCTTCAGTATGGACTTTTAAAATAGACATTGGCTTATGACCTTTCTAATTCTATGATGTGTGGGATTATTATGTTTTGTTTCCCTTTGTTCCTACAAGCCCATCACACAGGTCTTGGGGGCTTCTGATTTCTCTAATTCTGTCTCGGCATATACCAATTGAAAGCATTTAGTTGAGATTAGAGCAGATTGAACGAGATAATCCCTTTGAGTGAACAGCTTCAAACGGCTCAAACACATCTCTTTGGGGACACGAACTAACTCAACACGAGCTAATTCCTGCTGCATCTCCCTTGTGGTGCATTAGGCACACTACTCGTGTGCTATTTTTGTTTACTGGACTCCATTATGAATATATTTTTCTAGTGCAAGAAAGCAATAGCAGTCATAGGAATCTGAGATGATGCTTCTTTACTATCATATTAAACGTTAAACTATGTCAGGAAATGCATTCACATTAAAACAAAGCCAAATGCATTGGAGACCAATGACCTCAGGAGAAAGGGCAATCAGGTGTAAAGAAATGGAAATAGGATTACCTCACTTTCAGCTAAATAATACAAGACACTGTGAGCCCTGCTGATAGCTATGTTGATAGCTATGCTGCTGATGCTCTTTATAGGGGTAATATAAATGGAACCATTTATAGGGGATAGCATGGATAGTAAGATAGTAAGAATGTAAATGAGCTCCATTGTTTGTTTTTGTGTTTGTTTTAACATGATTAAAAAGTAAATGAAGTTACGTGCAAAGGTGAATCAAGGCCTAGCATTGTAAATTAATTTGTATGATTTTAATAATTCAAGGCCTAGCATTGTAAATTAATTGGTATGATTTTAATAATTCTGTTGCTATAATTAAACTTAAAATTAAACTTAAGCCTGATGCTTTATGGACGCTTGACTAGAGCCCTACATGTGAATTCCTGGAGAGGTGCTCACAATCACTTTGCTCCTCCTCAGTCCTTTTTACTGCTGTGCTGTGATGAACTAAGCCAAGATTTCGTTTTGCAGGTCACCTGCCCCCAGACTCATGGTTAAGGTCTCCCGTCACTAACCTCTCACTGCATCTTGAGTGTAGCAGTTTATGATCAGTGATCATAATATTGTTTGTTTGTTATTGTTTCAGTTGTTAGGCACTGACTAAAAAAAAGTTTTGAGGTGACGTACATTGCAATACAATACATTGCAATACAAAATATATAAAAATATAAATGAATTGAAAGTAGCATCAAGCAGTAAAAAATGAACATAGACTACAGTAATTCTAAAAAAAAATAGAAGAAACCCAACTTTCTTCCTCCAAATACATGCATGAGATCATGATCACCAAGAAATTAAATAGCTAAAACACTCACACAAATAACATAGATGTTAACAATCAAGAGTGAGGAACTAAATGAACATATTTCCAGGCTTGTGCCTATAGGCTGGAAAATGCTACATTGTTGCCCATGCACATTAGCAAATGTATGTTAAGTTACACGTTAATATGGATATCAAAACTCTGAGTTTGTACCTAAAGTGTAAAGTTGCTGAAATTTCATATTATTTTGGAGAAATAAGGAAAGTGCAGGAGATTGTAGCCTATGGTGACAGCGTTCTGCCATTAGAATATGCCACAAATTTTCTAGATGAAGTGTTGTTTATTTTTTTCTGGTGTAATACATGATTTTTTCATAATAACAGAACTCTGTTTCATAACTATTGTTTTCCCTGTTCCTGAAAACATGTTTGTTAAGAAGTCAATATTAATTTGGTTCTTCCCCTTTCTGCTCCTAAATACGGTAGAACAAGGGTGGTTTGAATGCTTGACATAGTAGAGAAGAAAGGTAGCCATTCTCTGAATTGTTATTTCTGAATAGCCTGCTGAAATTAGTTATATTTACACAAGGTATCTATTATTCCAAAATGTTGTTTTATTATTTTGTTGTATCAACTGCCAGGTCTGACATATATTGATAAAGCCCAAAATATGCATTGTTCGTAAGAAAGGGTCTGCTTAGGGATCTATTAATAATGGATATCATCCATCTGTCTCTGGAAAATGAATTTTCATGATCCTATTGTTTGTGTGTTGCAAAAAAGCTCACAGTTGCAACATAATACAAAGAAAGGATTCACCCTACCGATCCGACCATTGGGCCATGAAATGTTGTCGATGTCCATTCTGTATTTTTATGTATTCAGGACTCTAGTATAATTTGAATGTGAAATCATAATGGTTTATAGCACTTCTGTTTCCTTTCAGGATATTACATGTAGCATGTCTAAGAAATTGAACTACGTACAGTAGTAACCTCGCATATGTTCTGAAGGAGCCTGGGGAGAACTGCGAAAGAGTGGCAAGTGGCTGAAAATGTCACATTATGCTGCTGTGCTCTCCTACCTCTGCTGTTTCTTCTGAAATCGTTTAATAGTTGAATATGTTACAGAAGCCTTGGGCAGCTTTAACTTGCACGTCAGATGTTAAGCAACATCATTGCCTTGGTGTATCTGACCCTAGCAAGATTACACAAGATGTATCTTTACCAGAAGGGAAAGGAAATGTTTAAATGTGATTTGTTTGGGCATTTGGCACTGTGTTCTGTCTGTAATCAAGTCCCTTGTACCTTCACCACATTTTTTGTTTTTATGACAATGATCTATTTAGGGTTTATACATCTCACTGGTATCTTTTTTGTGATTTTACAATATGCTTCATGTAATATATTGGAAATGTTTCTCTGGATATCTTAAAGAATGCAGCAGTAGTCTGTTCCTGCCAGCCATGCAGTGCTAACAAAATGAATTTCAATAAGGACAAATGTAAGGTTCTGCACTTAGGTAGGATGAGCGAGGTATAAATAATAAATTATTACTATATTATTATTATATAAGCAGAAACACAAATATAGGATGGGAGGCACCTGGCTTACTAGCAGTACATCTAGGGCTCTTGGTGGAACACAAGCTTAGCATGTGTCAACAGTGTGATTCAGCAGCAAAAAAAACTAATGCTATTCTAGGCTGCATCAACAGAAGTATAGTGTCCAGGTCAAAGGAAGTAATAGTACCACTATTCTGCCTTAGTCAGACCACACCTGGAATACTGTGTCTGGTTCTGGGCACCACAGTTTAAGAAGGAAGTTGACAAGCTGGAACATGTGCAGAGGAGGGCAGCCAAAATGATCAAAGGTTTGGAAACCAAGCCTTATGAGGAGCACTTGAAGGAGCTGGGTATGTTTAGCCTGGAAAAGAGGAGACTGAGAGGAGATAAGATAGCCCTCTTCAAATATCTTAAGGAATGTCACATGGAAGAAGGAACAAGCTTGTTTTCTCCTGCCCTGGAAGGTTGAACTTGAACCAATGGCTTCAAGTTACAAGAAAGGAGATTCCGACCAAACATATGAAAAAACTTTCTGACAGTAAGAACTGTTTGACAGTGGAATGGACTCCTTTGGGAGGGGGTGGACTCTTCTATTTTGGAGGTGTTTTTTTTTAGCAGAGGTTGGATGGCCATCTGTCATGGAGCCCCCTTTAGTGTGAAAAAAGCTGAATAGCAACCATATTATTATACTCATATCAGAAGCTATTGCCCACACGTTATTTAAGAATAGTTCCATGTTTATTGGTTTCAAAACTCGAATGTTTATAAAAATCCCATTTTGGGCTCACTAATTGAGAAAGTTGATCATTTTAACTATGTGGGACAGATAACCTATATCACATCAGTGATTTAAATAATCAAGAAATTTAAATAACTTAAAGAATTGACTTAAATCTAGTTCCCCACTGATATTACTAAAAAACGATGCAAATCTGAGCACTGAACTATTACAGTTAGAATATGATTCACTACCATCCCATACATCTCTTTGTCAGGTGGTATACATTATTTCTTTTTTTAAAAAGAATCACTTAAAGTATCTTTCTTATGACCAGCACCTATCACATTTTGTTAAATCCTAAACATGTCTACTGGGAATCTGACTGGGTTCAAGGGCTCTTACTCTCAGGGAAATGTGTACAGAATTGCAAGCCAAGGTATGGGAACAGAGGCACCTGCACATTTTCTGACCACGTTATTTCCATGTTGCTCCTTTCTGTTTCACTTGGCCCTGGCCCAACCTCAGCACCACACTCAGAAAAACAAAATAGCAAATGAAAATAAAATTCCCTTAATATTCCTGCAATTGTAGTAAATATTCCTGTTTGCATGGTATTCAAGGCATTAAAATTATAACAGCTGTGTGAACTTCAAGATTCCAAAACTTGCTCAGAACCACAGAGGTTCATTAACAGCACAATTCCATGCATGTGTACTCAGAAAGATGTCTCATTAAGTTCAGTGATCTTACTCTTAGGTAATTTGTGTATAGGACTGCACCCTTAAGGACTTAGAACCATGTATTATTAATTTGTCCAGTACAATTTCTTTTTGTCATGCAAACACCCTTTGGAATAATATACATTTCCAATTAATTACGCTTATTGGGGCAAGATTGCTATATATTGTCATGCTTACAGTTTGTAACAGATACAAATTCTCTTAAATTCCAGTGATCATTGAACCACCCACAGAGAAACCTGTCAGGTAAAGTACTGATATAACCTTGTCCCCCAGCCTTGGAAAGTATCCATATTCACCCAAAATTAAAGTGCTTCCCTGTAGCACAGGCAGGCGAGATCTGTCTGTCTCTCTGTCTGTCTGTCTGTCTGTCTGTCTGTCTCTCTCTCTCTCTCTCTCTCTCTCTCACACACACACACACACACACACACACACCTACCTACCTTCTTCAGTGGTTGGTTGGAAGCGAACATTCTAGAAAGCACTTGCTCCATACTGGAGCAGTAGTACTGAAGGATAGATGGTGCTTTCATTTGATTCAAGGGTGAGGACCAGAAATTGCTCCGCCAAGAAGTGTCATTTATGCTGCTGACACCTAACACATGCATGGAATTGTTACTTTGTTCTCTTACTAAGACATATTTTAAGAAGGGCTTGTGGAAAAATGTATAAATTTCCTAGGCAGTGAAACAGGCGCTCATGTTTCTTTTTTGAAGTATGTGATATCCATTAAACCCTTAAATTTTCTTTGTCCACTAGTAGTCAAGTGCATCAGTGTTAGTGAGAGCCAGTCCTGAGCCTTTCTCTCATTCATTGTCAACAATAGTCTGTGGTTCTGTCAAATTAGTGTTTGCTGTAGAACGTGACAGGTGAATAGCCCTGAGGGTTTATGAACTGTAGCCTTACAATTGAATTTCAGGGATTCTCATTAGAATGTTGTGAAATTGTAAATTACACTGACTGTACCAAACCTTTGACTTGTGTGCCTGACTCTTTTCCAAATAATTTTGTTAAATATGCATTTAGCATATGAAATTAAAAAAAAAAAATCTGAAGATAGAAGTGCCTAGAGGTTGCCAGTGTATAAATGACATCTAACGTAGTGGGGCAATTTCAGTTTGTAGTCTGTTGCCTTGAGGAGACTCTTTAATGAGTTGAAGTGAAGCCTTTTACGACTTATTGTGGATGACATTTTGAGGACATTTGCAGTTGGTAGATGGAAGAACAATAAAGCCCGGTATTTTCCTGCATACAGTATTATTTCCTCAAAAGTGTTCATCCATATTTTGGCAAATCTACATATAATTGAGTGACTCAGGATTTTTCTATTAGGGTGTTCAGTGTATAATAATGAACTGGTCTTCCAAACTACATTTATTTTAATGTCTTCAGTTCACTCTGTCTGTTGTTGGTATTTCATAATAAATTGTGGGAAAGGGTGTTTGGGGAAAAAATTAGTACTCATAAATATTTTATAAAATTTCAAGGAATTAAATTGGAATTCTTGCCTTTCATATTCTAAGCATATTGTCATATGATATTTGTACAGCACCTGTGTTTTTGTAATCACAAAAACTTTGTGATTTAGGTTGCAAGTATTCTCATTTTTTTTTCATTCAGCAAGGGCATCTTCATAGATTGTAACCAACTCAGCACCATTATTGAGTTAATGCTTGAGCTGAAATATGGACTCAGATTTTGCAGATTCAGGCCAAACATTTGCTCACTGTGCTGAGCAAAATTTTCAAACAACATGACGTCCATGATCTCTTAATATGCCAGTTTAAATACTTTGTTCTACTAATAAAAAGGTATACAGTGATACCTCAGGTTACAGACGCTTCAGGTTAGAGACGCTTCAGGTTACAGACTCCGCTAACCCAGAAATAGTACCTCAGGTTAAGAACTTTGCCTCAGGATGGAAACAGAAATCGCGCGGCAGCAGCGGGAGGCCCCATTAGCTGAAATGGTACCTCAGGTTAAGAACGGACCTCCAGAATGAATTAAGTTCTTAACCAGAGGTACCACTGTATTCTACTAATATGCCACAATTTTACAATTGTAGGTCACTTTTAGACAAAGCATACAGTATGCTTAGGAACTGTTTTTATTTTTCCCAACAAAACTTGTGTTGAGCTTACACAACATCATTCCCAGGTGCTTGTTGTTCTCTACTTTTCACTGTGGTTTTATGTTACTTTGCTTACCACCCAAAATCCAAAGGGTGGAGTGGATTTGTTATACAAGAATGCCATATAGCAATTCTTCTTTATACTATTTATGCTATATATTTTGTACTCACTTACTTAATGTTCAAACATCCACATTCACAAAGTGTGATAGTCTGGAAGCCCATAGCTATTTCTATAGCATTGCTTCCATATTCATTTTATTGTTATATATAGCCACTGCAGGAATGTACTTGTTTACTGGTTGTTCCCATGTATGATTAACTGGACATTCATCTGCTTGCTAATTGAGGCTCATTGACATCTTGGAACTTTGTGTGAATGTGGAGAAGTTCTGTTTGATACCAATATAACAGCTTGAATTTCTTCAGCTTCTCTTGAATTCTAAAAATGGGTGTTTGTATCTACCAACTGGCAGGCTAGTGGGTCTTGCTGGTCTTGCTGCTGATGTTAGTGATCTCACCACTGATTTCAGGCCATGCTAAATCTCAAATCCAAAGACATCTGAGACTTAGGCAGCAACTATGGCCATCACATCTTATGCACTGTGCCAAGGCCTCCCCAAGGCTGGTTATAGACTTCTTTCAGATGCACCATGACACACAGGGCTTGAGGCTTAATCCAGCCAGGTTTGCTGGATGCTTCATTACTGGGTATGCTCAACGAATCTGCTTTTGGGAGAGTAGGTTTTTGCCACTGATGCATTTTGTTCTGTCCATCATGATGATGTCCAGTACCGATAGGAAGGACACTGCAAAGACCTAAAACTAAATGTTTCATAATTCCCAGCAGAGTAATAACTGCATATTGGCATGCTCAATCTTCTGCTCCCTTGAAGACTACTCCCTCTATGGTAATATAGTCCAGGTGGCCACTAAATGTATTCTACATCAAGAACTGTATTCTATACTGTATCAAGAAACAGGCCAGGACTAGGTTCAGGACCCACTTAGTCCTTGCTGTTCAGTTGTGAGACTGGTGCACACATTACCTTAGTGGCATTTTATCTTGTTTGAGATGGCAGCTCTTTAGCAGATCTTATCAGTTGGTCTGTGGCATGCTCACATAAGGTTATGCTTCTGTCTGTGTTCAGGAAGCATTGTCTTCTGGCAATAGATGACCATCAAATTTTATTGTTTTACCTTCACTCTTAACCACTGTGAGGTCTTTTTCTACAATCAAATGGTATATAAACTGTATTAAGTAAGTAGGTACGTTAGCTGCCTCCAGCAACAAAACAGTATTCTCTGTTCTTCACAGAGTGGAAGTGGGTGAGACATACTTAGGCGGTATGAACAGACAAATTCTTTCAAAGTATACAAGTTCCTGCTGATCCCACTCACCCCATGGAAATGGTTTTCAGGATTGAGCTGTACAGGATAGGCTGCAATTTGTTAATGCTGATTAGGACTGACAGGAAGTCAGGAGCCAAACCCCCTACACCATACCCGTTGAGGGTGGGGTTGGCTGGTCTTCAAAATACCGTATTTTTCGTTCTATAGGACGCACCGGCCCATAGGACGCACCTCGTTTTTTTGGGGGGGGGGAAATGAATAAAAAAAATTATTCCCCCCCCACCGCGGCTGCCGCCCCAAGCCTTGCGTGCTTCGGGCTGCAGGCTACCGCCCCAAGCCTTGCGCGCTCGGCGGGACCTCCCACCGGGCGCGCGAGGCTTGCAGACACTCGCCCGAAGCACGGGGAGTCCTCCGGAGGGCTCCCGTGCTTCGGGCGACAAGCTGCAGCCCCAAGCCTTGCGCGCTGGGCGGGACCTCCTGCCGGGCGCGCAAGGCTTGCAGACACTCGCCCGAGCACGGGAGCCCTCCGGAGGGCTCCCCGTGCTTCGGGCAACAAGCTGCAGCCCCAAGCCTTGCGCGCTCGGCGGGACCTCCTGCCGGGCACGCAAGGCTTGCAGACACTCGCCCGAAGCACGGGGAGCCCTCCGGAGGGCTCCCCATGCTTCAGGCGACAGGCTGCTGCCCCAAGCCTCGCGCGCTTGGCGGGACCTCCTGCCGGGCGCGCAAGGCTTGCGGACACTCGCCGGGGCTGCAGGCTGCTGCCTGCAAGCCTTGTGAGCCCGCGGGAACTCCCACCGGGCTTGCAAGGCTTGCGGATAGCTTCCTGAAGCCTGGAGAGCGAGAGGGGTCGGTGCGCACCGATGCCTCTCGCTCTCCAGGCTTCAGCGAAGCTTGCATTCGCTCCATAGGACGCACACACATTTCCCCTTCATTTTTGGAGGGGAAAAAGTGCGTCCTATGGAGCGAAAAATACGGTACTACTCCAGCTCTAGACAATTCTGAAATGAGGCTCTGTGCACGTACAGCACCCATATGTGCAACAATACAGATGGCCTATCAAAGAACCACATTTATAAGCAACTTGTTTTTCTTCATTATAGGCCTAATAACCACCTTCTTCAATAGATAATTCCTCTCTCCTTAATAATAAGTTGAGTTTCTTTCCTGGCTGACTTTCAATGCCCTGCCTTGCGCTATAATCTAAAATCTGTGCCTGTGAGTGTTGTAGGAAGTTTTCAGAAACAATTGCCAAGGAGATATATAAATTATTTCTGTTTTCTGTTTTGCTGGGGAAAGTTACCAAGCTATCTTTTTGGTAGAGTGTCCTAGATATAATACGGAAAGGAACACAAGATCTGGAGTTGGAAAGAGACTGAAGCTTTGGAAGATAAATATAAAAGCTTGGGAGGCAAAGCCATTTATTTTTACATATTCATTCATTTGGTTGAATAAACAAACTGGTTTGGGTGGAGTTGGAGAAAGAAAAAAACAGCTCTCAAAATGAAAGATATACTAAAGCAGAGAAACACGAACCTCTCCTATAATTGGGTGACAACTGGAAACAGATATAGAGGTTCATTTGGATACATTTCCATTAGCAAAAGAATAAATGTAACTTTCAGTGCAACAATTTTAACACTCTTCTATTTCACAGCTCGCTCCAGAGACAAAAATCAGCCACTAACAGCCAGTTTGAAGTGATGGGTTATTCCATGCATATTGAGTACAGAACTCACAGTGGCTTGTTGGCTCAATCACCCATGTAGTTAGAACCAGAATAATGATTAAAATCATCACTGACAAGATGTGATCTTTGCAAGTCAGTAGTTGAAACTGAACTGAACTGAACTGAAATAATCTCTTTAAAAGGTTTTTTACTTTAAACACACACACACACACACACACACACACACACACACACACGTCTTTGAATCCATCTTTTTTGGCTTCCCAGTATAGATGTTCCTTCTTTGTAGATTTTTCTCTTATTTTCATTAACAGACTTCTGATTTGTTTACTCCCTTTGTATTGCCAAAGCTATTTGACAGTAGCCTACTCCCTATTATTTACTCCCTATTCTAGTTTACTCCCTGTTGTGATTCGAGGACCCGATCCCCGCTTGGGGAATAAAGACACGTGGACACAGAATGTAAGGTTAATGGGTAAGGTAAAGGCCACAACTTTATTGATTACAGCATGTGAGAAGGTATTGGCTTAGGCATTGGACCACGGAACATTAGACTCCACCCACTCGTAGAGGGGTGAGTCTGAGGAGGGGTTAACCACCAGTAGGGGAAGCCTGCTGATGCTAATCCAACTATAGGCTCTCTTCCTGATGTCACCGAGGGTCGTGCCATGGCCCCCCGCCACACGGGCATCGGACAGGATCCACGACCGCCGGATTCCTTTAGCGGAATACCCAAAATTGTCGGGGAAGGCAATGGCCACACCTTGCCCCCGAAACACCAACAGCACATTCCAATGCCTAGCCGCCAAATACCACGAAAGTTGTGACGGTTGCTATGAGGTAGGCGAAAAAAACCAAGAGGCCGG